TTTTTTTTTTTCTTTGCCCTAAAGTACTTAGATTTAGAGTCGCATAGCTGAAAATAATCTAATTACCTTTTGAATTTTAAAGAAATGAAGAAAAAAAGGAGGCTTGGAACAATTTAGTATATTTAAAATATTTTTGAGCTCAAAAGTTGAGGATAAATGATATCTACAATTATTTAGAGAGGAGATGTTTACTTGTTGAATTCACTGTTTGGTGCTATTTATAATAGACGGTTAGGATTAATATTTTTGAAGTAGTTGGTAGTTAATAATTAATATTTGATAATTGATAGTTATTAATATTTATAATTTAAAATATATAATTCATTTAATTAAAATCAATAACTGATAATTATTTTTAAAAATTCAAAACAAATGCCCCTTAATACTTTGAAAATTTAGCTTAAAGTACTTAAGTTTGCAAACTTTGTTATTAATTTTAGGTTAAATACTTTTTTTGGTCCCTCTACTATAGAAAAAAGCCCTTTTTTAGTCCTTATACCGAAAAAATCCCATTTTTGATCCTTACTATTCACAAATCCGACCTCTTTTTAGTCCTTCTGTTAAATTTTGCTCACGTGGCACGTTAACTTAACTGGAACAGTTGATGTGGGTATGCCAATATGTAAAAGATGCTTACGTGAACTTAATGACAACCTCTACATCACCCCCCACGTCACTCTCCATTTCCTTCGGCCTTTTTTTTTTCTTTTTTCCCTTTTACCCCCAAGCGAACCCAAGAGCCTGGGTTCATGAGGAACCCAACTCATGGGTTCGCAATGAACCCAGGAGCGTGGGTTGGCAACGAACCCAGCTCGCTAGTTCATGATGAACCCAGGCGCTTGGGTTCACGAGGAACCTAGCTCGTGGGTTCCCAACAAACCCAGGAGCTTGGGTTTGCAAGGAATCCAACTCACGGGTTCGCAAGGAACCCAGGAGCCTAGGTTCGCGAGGAATGAGTCTTACCTTGAGAAATGGAGAAGATTTGCATTGCTGTGAGAGTGAGACCGCGATTTCCCAAGATACCTCCACCAGAACCTACTGGAAGGTCAAGGACAACCGCATCTCGTCTCACGGCACTCCCATCTCCAACGTCTCTTACACTTTTGGTAAAAACCTGGATCTTTATTTCTATTTCATCTTCGATTTACCATGTTATTAGTGTGGATTTTGTTCAATTAAGCTTTTCTTTTTCGTTTTTGCATTTGCAGATCATGTGTTCGATGAAACCTGCACAAATGCTCAAGTTTACGAGCTTCTTACCAGGGATTTAATTCATGCCGCGGTTGAAGGGTTCAATGGTATTCTTCTTTTCCCCAAATCGTCCAAATTTGTTCAATCACTAAGATTTTGCTTTAAGCCTTTAGGTTCTCATTGTATTTTGTTTGGATCTGGGAAAACATCATAGGCTGTTTCTGAGATATCTGAGAAATTAAAATATTTGATTTGAATTTCGTAACCTTAAAACATTTTCCTTTTGGTTGGATTTTTTCGACTTTGTTGGAAGACTTGCTAGTTTGGGTGCAGGAATTGATTGATTTAATCTCATGAAAAAGAAGCATTTCATTTGTGTAGTGATTTTCGTGCTTGTTTGTGGATTGATTTGGAGCAGGTGACACTGACATGGAAATGTTG